GTGGAGCATAATCCAGTCCAAGTTTCAAGTCTGTAGGTGTAGTAGTTTTCAAACTATAGTCGAGTATAGACACGGATGGTAGTGAAAAATTAAATGGAATCGCCCTTTATTTTATTTTTATTTTTTTGCCCTTTAGCTTTTGGAAGCTAGAAATGTAAACCAATTTCAGCTTTGTTCATTCTAGCAGATAGTTTAGTTGTACATTCAGTGAGGCTTCCTATTAGAGCATTATAGTTTTCTGCACATTCTTCCTTAGAAGTTGTTATATGGTGGTATATTTGTGCCATAATTTGACAGCCATGTTTTCAATTTGAAAGCAGGATTAATGGTGTGGGTTGTCCTAAGACTTTATTTATTTTATTATATTCAGTTTGAAATGCTATATTTGTTTTTACATTCTTTTTTTTATGTTAAAATCTTTTATTAAAAAAAGATGCCGTCAGTTAGACAGATGAGGAGCAGGAACCCAGGGATGAAGAAGAAAATATGTCCTGGGCTAATGACAACTAGTCTTTTTTTAAGTTCATGTCTTTTCTTTCTTTTTTTTTACATTTATAAAGTTATTTTCTTCCGAGTTTTTTGACTATGTTATTAAAGAAGAGTTTTTACTTTGTTAATGGATTAATTTCCCATTTTTCTAACATGATAAAATAAGAACACCCTTCTTGTAGTAAAAGTAGTCTTGTGTGAAGTTCAGTTAAAGTTTAAGGGAAGGACCAAGTAGAAGATTAGCAGACAAAATTTTGATACAACTCTGTTGGTTTTGACACAGCTTAGTTGTAAAGTAAGATTTTAGTTATTTTCTTGCTTTTTATTTTTACTGTTGAACAACATGGACGATTGCTAAAGAATGGTCTGAACCATGCAAGAACTAACATTAGAATGGGTTACAGTAAGGAACTTGAGGAGAGAGAGGTATCAGGATTACGGTGTAGTAACATCTGCATCAGGTGAGAGTGAGAAATTAGACAGAAAGATTACATCCAATACACATATATATGTGCTGCCATCTAAATTGAAACACATAGGGTATTATATGCAATTCTTAATTCTGATATGTAGAACTATAATTTTTAGTATTCATTATTATTTTTGAGATATCTTAAGTTATAATAATGGATATTTCTCTTGTAACGTGATAGATGTGTTATCATTTGAGATATTTTTAAATTAAAATGAATTCATAAAAATGAAATTTAAGAAATCTTCAATTATTATTTTTACTAGTTAGAATGTAAATTCAAATATTTTAACCTTTCCGAATATTAAAAATGTACTTCTTTTTTAGAATATAAATATGTAGAAATCAAGAATTGCAGATATTTAAAGAAAATCCCATTTATTTTAAAGTTTGTTGCCATAAAACAACATTCTGCAGGTAAATATTTGGACATCTTTATGACAGCACAGAGGGACTTAAATATATTTTTTCATTTAGATATTAAAAATCTAATTAGAAATAGCTATAAGTAGTTTCAGATGTTTTAAAGAAAAGTTTTTATTTTTTTAGTCAAAATGCATTTTAGATATCTGTTTTTATTCTTTTCATCATTAACATTAAATCAGACTAGATATCTAGTCTAACTATTCGAATGTAACTCCGAATAGTTAGACTAAATCGAATTTATGCTAAATTGGCTTTCCATAAAACTTTCTGCAGACAACTGTTTGGACAGCTTACTGCTAGCATATTTGATCTTAAATATAATTCTCAGTTTAGATAATAAAATGTAATTGTTACTAATCATAAGTATTTCGAGCTATTTTAAATAAAAAATTACTTTTGTATAGTCAAACTGCACTTTTAGATATCTTGAATATAATTATTAGTTATTGTTACACGAAACCGATTTTATGTTAAAACGGCTTGCCGTAGCTTCCTACCCATGTTTATGCTTTTACCTTCAGAGATGGCGCCGAGCCCACTGCGTCAGACGTAAACGTCCCACGTCATACGCAGTGAGGTTGGTTCCAAAGCTCCATTGGTTGAATTACGTTTGTCTCTTTATCTTTTAAACCCATTGGTTGATTGGCTTCTGTAACGTTCTGCCCGCCGTGAATTGAATCAGTCTTTCACAGACCCACTTTGAGTGAACTTGCTGAGCTCAGAGTTTTCAAACAGCCTTCCGAACGCCAGGAGAATTGCAACCGAACAGCTTTCCAGCACATTCTGTTGATTCACCGAGCGCAGGAAGCTATTTCCGTCGAGGTAAGTTTTTTTTATATGTTTTATAAAGACGTTGTGACTGGGACTTTTTTAAAATACAGCTTTTTATTATGGTTAAAATATAAGCTACTACACACTCATATAGCCTTAGTCTAGCTATTCTCATGTCTGCTGCTGATGTAAATAAGCCTGGAATAGTTCTTAAACGTCACGTTACGACCTGGATTGAAAGTAAGTCTCGTGCAAAAT